CCTTTTCTGAGATCCTGGGCAGTCCTTGGTGCTTTCTCAGGGTCCAGACCCTTTCACTGGTTCTGAGGGCGGAGCGCCGTCTCCACCTGTTTCCACCGCTGGGCAGTGGGAGCGGGTGGGGGTATCAGAAAGAGCAGAGGAGGCAGAGATGCCAGGACTGGGGAGGGACACAGCTACCTGTGGGCTGGACCCTGTCCCCAGCGTCTGCCTCCTGCAGGGTCCCCGAGGGCCCGGGGCTTCCTCCAGCAAAGGGAGGCCTCTTGCAAGGCCCGGCCTGGGCCCAGGGGCTTCGCAGGGATCGAGATTTTACTGCCACAAACACCAGAGCCAGGGATTGTGTTTCTCCGGCTGAGTGGAGGCTTCCAACGCAGCAGGTGTGACGCAGCTCGGCAGCTCCAGCGGGGACTCCAGACCCTGGAGGATGCCTCTGCCCAGGAGCTCTTGTGTGCCCTGGACTGGTTCCCTCCGGGTCTGAAAACAGCCCCACAGACCCCAGGCCCTGCTCAATGGCAATGAAACCCGCTTCTGCTACACGCAGGAGCCCCTAATTGGAGGAAGATTTTTTCCTTGAAATGATTCCAGCTAATTTCATGCATTTCGTGGAAGAATTCTCCAAACTGCCACGGCCCTGGTTTCCTCCTTTGTTCCTGCAAACAGCTGTTTCCTCCCGAGGACCCGCGGCCTCAGGCCTCCCCGACACCGGCTCGCTTGGCCGCCGCGTCCCGGCAGGTGGCGCTGAGTCACCGCCTTTCACGGCGACGGCGCTTCCTGCGCTCGGCAGGCTCCGATTTTCCTCTTACACCACGATTTACAGAATCCACTGTTGACTTAGGGATCTGGGGAGCCTAACTTAAAATTAAGTAAGTACATAAACCAGGGAGCCAGTGTCTTCCCAACAGGAGCCGTCATCGGCGCCTCGGGCCCCGGGGGAGGCCCGGCCCCGGCTGCTGCTTGGCCGCGGGTCCCTGCAGGACGCGCTCGCTCCGGGAGAGCCGGATCCCCGGCCTTGCGCGGAGCAGAGGGACGGGGGCGCCGCAGAGGGACGGGGGCGCCGCAGCGCAGGCCTCGCGCAGGGTGGTCTTGAGACACTGCCCAGACTGGACACAGAGCGGGAGGACCGAGACCGAGACGCACGCCCTCCCCACGGCCTGCCGCGCCTGCCGGTGCCGTGAATGGAGGAAGGGGCAGAATCGGCTGGAAGCCGAGTGCATTCAGGGCAGGGTCCACACCCTTCCTGGCCCGAGGAGGGGCTGCTCCCATCTGGGAGCCCTACCCTGGTGGTTCGGGGAGGGAGCTGGGAGCTTTGCACCCAGTGAAGAGATCTGCACCTCGTGTGCCCTGAAACACACGTGTGTGCCCTGAAATGCCTGCACCCCGCGTGCCCTAAAACACGCGTGTGCCCTGAAACACACACGTGTGCTCCCAAACACCTGCACCCCACATGCCCTGAAACACACGTATGCCCCAAAATACCTGCACCCCACATGCCCTGAAACACACATGCGCATGCCCCAGAATACCTGCACCCCACATGCCTTGAAACACGCATGTGCCCCCAAACACCTGCACCCCGCATGTCCTGAAACACACACACTGGAGTTCAGTCCTGAAGCTGGCTGGACCCTGAAAAATCTTGTATTTCAATTCATTTATGTCCCAGAACTGCTAATTACAAGGACATTTTGGCACAAGAGTAATTATTTTTGCTTCCCAGTTAGCCCAGATCTTCAAGAGAAGGTGGGTCCATGTGGGTTGGGCCCAGGGCCTCTGTCCTCAGAGCCAAGTGCTGTCTGAAGCATCATACCCACAGGCAGAGCTACAGGCCTCAGTTCCAATCTTTAGAGAAACAGTGAAAGGAGCATAGCGCTCCTTCCCCAGAAGGATGCGTCCCAAACACTTGCCTTGCCAAGGAGGGTGCTCAGGGTGAACCCCTCAGAGGGGCTGGTCCCAGCTCAGATCCACCCTGGGGCTGGGGTGGAGCTGCAGATGAGGCCGGATTCCTTCCCCACAGGGGTCTCTATAGAGCATGGGGTTGTGGAGGGGCACACTCGCTCCTGCCTTCCCTGGGGGCTCCAGAGGAAGAGGGAGGATTAGCTGCTGACTCCTGGGCTTCTCTCTGGGAAGAACCCTGTAGCTCCTCAGGGCCCATGGGGCAGCCCCTTGTGGGAGCTGGAGCCCCTGTGGAGGGTGCCCAGGGCCCACGTGGCACCTGCCTGCTCCTCACTGGAGGGAGGCAGCTCTGCCCGTGCCGCTGCTGCAGAGGCCTGGCATAGGCAGCTTCATGGAACTCAGACCCCATCCAGGGAAGAGCGGAGTGCTCAGGGCCCGCATTGTCACCCCCCTCTGTGACCTCGCCTCCCAGGGCTGCTCTTGACTGTCCCGGCACCTGCTCATTCTGGGCCCTTCTCCTGGGTACGTAGATTCCCCTGGTATCTGTCCAGCGTCCCCACGCCCCAGCTCCGATTCCAAATCCTCCTGCTGAGTCTGCGCAGAGCTTGGTTCCCTGAACTCCTCCCCCCACACCCAGGCCTCTTTCTAGTCTTGCCAGGTGTGGTAGTGGGGGGCTCCTCCGCAAGGGCCAAGGGTGCAGCCATCCTGACGCAGACTCCCCTCCTACCCCTCCAGGTTGTGGGGCATGGAGCCGTGCTGGGCTTCCTGGGAACAGGGCCCAGGCCCTGGCCACTTTCCCGGGAGCTCAGAGCCGCTGGTCTCCATCGGGCACCAGGCGTGATTACCAAGGCTTGTGGTGGATGTTTCTGTGGACTGGGGCTGTAGGCAGGGGAATTGCAGAACTAACCCCACTCTGAAGGGACAGGGACTGGTCTGCGGCTCGAGGTCTCCTCTGGGGACTGAAGCAGGGATGAGGCCTGGCCAGCACCTGCGCTGTGGGTGGACAGGGGCCGTGGGCATCACCACCCTCTGTGGCTCAAGGGCCATATGTGTGTCCAGCAGAATCTAAGGGGTTGGAGAGGCTGCCTGGAGCCGCACCAGGGAGAAGGCTCTGGAAACAGCACATAGGGGATTAAAGCCCTGCCCGTGGGCCTCACAGCCCAGAAGGGATGAGCTCATGAGAAAACAGCAGATCCATCTGAGTGGCCCAGCAGGGAGCCCACGCCTCCACCTGCCAGGGCTGAGGCCCATACATGTTCTGAGGCTGGCCAGCCCTGCACCCCAGCCTCCCTGCTCCAGCCCAGCCCTGCACCCCAGCCTCCCTGCTCCAGCGCAGTGCTGTTTGTTCTGTGACGGGGTCTGAGAGGAGCATGGACTCTCCCCATTCTCTGCCTCCTGCAGGCTCAGTGAACAGGGACCACACACAGCAGCCTCTGGTCCAGCCCAGGAGGCATTGCTGGGTCTGGGTGCAGCTCTGGGACCTCCAGCCCCTGCCCACCATCTTGCTCTGTGCTCTTCCCGCTCACACAGCGGAGCCCCCCACATGGAGCCCCTGACTCTCCCAGAGAGCCTCACACTCTGGAGCCAAGGCTGCTGTCATTAAGACCTAGGACTAAAATTTGGCAGCAATTAAAGGCATGCTCGCTGCTGTCCACCCACAGCTGTCAGGCTCCGCCAGAGGCCGCGTGCCTCCTGGATGCATTCACAGAGCTGCCCTTGGGAATCCTTCATTAACTCAAATTACAGAGTAAGTCTCAGTGCTTGACCCATGACCCCCACCTGCGTGCAGAGAAAACGGAGCATTCAGTCCTAATTAGGAGGCCTGGAAGGCAGGGCGGCCTTCCCTGTGGCGAGCTGGCCTCCACCACCCTGATTCCTGGGTGTGTCAGCTCAATTAGGAGGCGTCCCCCAAACACACCCAGTTGTTTCTGGCAGCGATCTGTCCAGTTGGCGGCGACGCTTCTGTCGGCATAGCAGGGGCGTCGCTGGGTGGGTGCCCTTAACTAGGCCATTGTCGGAACTGATTGCAATTTGCTGAGCGAGGATGAGCATGGGAGCTGTGAGCACAGACGACAGCAGCCGCCCTGGAAGGTGGCGACGGTGGGTGTTCCCACAGAGGGCAAGGGCTGGAGGACTGAGGAGGACTCAGCGTCACCTGGCAGTGCTCGAGGGGATGCTCTGGTTTCAGGGGGTGTCCGGTGCAGTCAGGGGGGCGGGGAAATAGGAACAAAGATGTTCTGGGACAAAGGATTTGCCTCAAGTTAAAGGAAATGCTACATTTAGGGTCCCTGAAAGTGAGAAGCCAATTTACGACCCAGCTGCCTCCCATCCTGGAGACTTAAGTGGCTGATTCTCTGTTGGGTGGCGGGTGTGGGGGGGGGTCCCTGCCCACTGGGGGTCCGTGGGCTGACCTGAATCCTTTCCATGAGTGTCAGAGTGGGCGGTGTTCCCTTTGTCCCAGCTGGTCCCACAGCAGGGAGCCGCGGGCTTGGAGTCATGGGTGGGCCGACCGCAAGGGCCCCCCACGCCTTGCTCCCGTCCGTTCATTCTGCATCCTGGGCTCTGCCTGGGCTTTTGTACCCAAGCAGCTGCATGTACCATTTCCCTGTCCTTCCCTGTAAGGACAGCGTGGTGACATTGCTGGGTCGAGGAGCCTGAAACAGGACAGGAGCCTCCTAGAGACCTGGGCAGCTCAAGCTGAGCCTCCTTCTGCCTCTGCCTCCTCCGGGATCCCTGAGCCTGGTTGGCATGAGGGCTTCATCCCCCATTGAGAGAACCTGGAAGGCCCCCTGAGCCACCTGTCCCTGAGTTCCCTGTCAGGGAGGACCCGTGTTCCTGGGCGATGCCCGGGGCTGACCTGACTGTCCCTCTTGTCTCCAGCTGCCCTACCCCATGCCCTGTTGCCCATTCTCTGACCCTCAGCTTTTCCTCTCCAGCTCCTGGGGGGCACCCCTGCCCTGACTTTGGGGGGTCCAGAGCCCTGACTCATTCTTTCTGAGATTCCAGCAGCAGGCAGGACCCTGGTCCAACAGGTCGCCAGGGATCCTGTACGTTTGCCTGAATTCCTACCTGCCGGGGAAAACCTGGAATGGAAACGGTTTACATCCAAAATGTACCTTTTGGAGCACAGCCTGTGGGTGGAGTCCCTTGCACGGACCGTGGGCCGCCGGGTGCATCCCCCCTGCATGGAGCATGGGTCTGAGGATTCTCTTTCTGTCACCCAGGCTGGAGTGCGGTGGTGTGATCTCAGCTCACTGCAACCTCCGCCTCCCTGGTTCAAGCAATTCTGCTACCTCAGCCTCCCGGGTAGCTGCGACTACAGGCGCCCGCCACCACGCCCGGCTAATTTTTTTTTTTTGTATTTTTAGTAGAGACGGGGTTTCATCATACTGGCCAGGCTGGTCTCGAGCTCCTGACCTCGTGATCCTCCCGCCTCGGCTTCCCAAAGTGCTGGGTTACAGGTGTGAGCCACCGCACCCGGCCCAGTCTCTGTCTTTCAATGGGTGCATGTCAACCCCTGACTTCTGAAGCGATCATCCACATAGCTGGATTCCTGTTGGCCACGTTGGTTACTGTTTGCTGTTCCTCAGTCTCTGTTTCTTTTTTGTCTTCCACTCTTTTTCTTCCTTCTCTGGTTTTGATTGAGAATTTTGTATGATTTTGCTTTCTCTCTCTCTTAGCAAATCAGTTACGCTTGTTGTTTTCTTTCTACTTTTTTTATTGGTTGTCGTAGAGTTTGCAATACACATTTACAGCGAATACAGGTTCACTTTAAATAGCATGGTGCCGCATCACAGGCAGTGCAATTGCCTCATGGCAGAGTGTTCCAATCTCTTACAACTTTGGTGTCATTCATTTTACTTATCCGTAAGCGATAATCGCCAAATATGTGGTTGCTATTATCCGCTTCTCCATTTATCCACTTATTTCTCCATTTATCCATTATTTCTCCTCCACTTTAGGAAGATAATTTAATTGGGTACAGAATTACAGGTTGTTGGTTTTATCCTTTCAATGCTTTAAGTGGATACAAACGGTTTACGGCTTGGGTTACTAGTAAATGTGTGGCGTCGGTGGCTCAGAAATGTCCCCCCAGAAGGCACTTCCTCTGGTGGGAGCAGGATGGGAAGTGGGCTAACAGGGAGAGGGTCCCAAAGGTGGCAGCAGGGATGGGACGTGGGCTAACAGGGAGAGGGGGCCCAAAGACCTCACAGCAGAAGGTTCCTGGAGTGTGAGACCCGGCGCCCAGGCAGAGACTGTCCCAGGACGGCACCATCAGCCCGGGGTCAGGGTGGCCGTTTGGGGGTTGGCAGCAGTTTTGTGCTCCTGTCTGCAGATGCCATCAGAGATGGATTGGGGACCGTCCTGCAGGGAGGTGCTGAGGGGCGGAGCTGCGACAATCGGCCCCACACCAGGTGGGTGTCATCAGAGGCAGCTGTGATAAATGGAGGGTGAAAATGTATTTATAGCCGGGCAGTGTCCGAGGCTGTGAGATTTATGTTCCTCTGGTCTTGATGGTCTCCCACGTCCCTGAGGGCTCTGGAGGGAGCCTGGCCAGCTTCATCAGTTTTCTGTGCTGTGTCTTCCAGAAAAAGCCGGGGGGCCGCTGAACCCAGGTCACCAATGAGAGCTGTGAACCCAGCCTGACCCCTTGACCGAGGTGCTTTCAGGGCACAAGGGAGACGCAGGAGCTTGTGGCTGCTGTCACTTCTGCCCTCAGTTCATAAACGCTCTCTACACGTCCCCTGTGCTTGGCAAGGGGCCTGGATGGAAGGGCCAATGAGGAGATGCCCATCCTTCAGACACTGTGCCTCCCCGCAAAGGCCAGCAGCCCCGAGCATCACTGTGCCTCCCCCCAAAGGCCAGCAGCCCCGAGCATCACTGTGCCTCCCCCCAAAGGCCAGCAGCCCCGAGCATCACTGTGCCTCCCCGCAAAGGCCAGCAGCCCCGAGCATCACTGTGCCTCCCTACAAAGGTCAGCAGCCCCAAGCATCACTGTGCCTCCCCTAAAAGGCCAGCAGCCCCGAGCAGGGCCCTGGGGAGAGACCAGGGGAGCAGAGGATGGGAAGGAGAGTCAGAAGTAAGGGGCCCGGACTTGAGTAGGGTCCGGACGGCACCTGAAGGTTTCTGCAAGGTGGACTCGCCGGGCGGGAAAGTGGCACCCCCACGCCCTGGGAAGCTTGAGGTGCCGTAAGTCCTCGGAAGGGGCGCTGCGTCTGTAGGGGGCCCTGGCTCTCTGTTGCGGCCCCTAGGCATGGGACCAGCTTGCTCTCAGGACAAGGGGAGAGGGGGCAAAGTGCCCACAAGGCCAGTGTCTGTGACCCTGTGTCTCTCACCCAACTTGGGACCCCCCAGAACCTTCCTCGGGCAGCCGTGAGGAGAAGGCCAGGATGGGGCACAGCAGAGGCCTCACCTGCCCGGTGGGGGCTCTGGGGCTGGGGCAGCTCCTCAGAGATTGCCCAAGTCCAGAGCTCTCACACTATGCAGCCGTCTCGGGGTGCAGGGCCCCTGGGTTACTGGCAGGTCCGTCAGCCGCAGCCGCTGGCCCATCCAGGGCCTGTTGGATTTGCAGAGGCCGGACTCGGGAACCAACTAGGGGAGAACCAGGCCCCTCTGCACTCCTCACGACTTGTGTGGGGGCCGGCCTCTGCCGTCCACCTGGGGCGTGACAGTGCATTCAATTCTCTGTCTCTCCGTGTCACTGTCTCTGTGTCTGTCTTTATCTCACCGTCTCTTTAGGTTTCTGTCTCTCTCACTGTCTCCCTCGCTCAGCAGCTGGGTGGGAAAAGGACATTCTGGAAAGTTCAATGTGATCTTCCCTACAGATCAGGACAACTGGGCTATTACAGTGACGTATTGGGGATCTGGGAAATGGCCCCTCGGAGTTCCGTGAGCTCTGTCTGGAAGGTCCCCATTCATTTCCCGTTCCCTGCTCTGCTCCACGGGGATGCCACAAGGCTGCAGTTCCCTGACGCCGGCGTCTGCTCTGTCCCCAGCCCACCGCCCTGACCGTTTGGGCAGACCCTTCCTCCGCAGCGCCCCTTGGGAGGGCCAGGGGGACCCTTGCCCGAGCCCTCTGTGTGTTTCCGGTTCTTTCTTCCCCTCCCCTGTCTGGATTCTGCATCTGGAACCTGGCCCAGGGAGGAGGCTGGGTATGGGATGCTGGTGTTGCTGGGCAGCTGCCTGTGGCCCCAGCCTCCGTCTCGACCACCTTAGTGGGGTGGGTGTAGCTGCTGCCCATCTCTCCTGCCCCCGGGGCTTGGGTGCTACTGGCCTTCACACCCACCTCTGTGGGGCAGGCCCCTGTACACCACTCAGTCTGCTGCTCAGCCCCACAGCGGCCCTGCCTTCCTCCTGACAGTCAGGGCCCCCTTCCGCCATGGGGGGCCCGGCTCTGTGATGGCGCCTGGCTGCCAGCCCTGCCCACACCGCCCAGCCACCCCAGCTTCCGGGAGGCTGCTGCCCACTCTTCACTGTGGCCAGTGCAGGGTCTCCTGGGCCCCCGGGAGCAGGTCAGCTGGCAGTGTCCTGCCTTACACCACAGCCACCAGCATGGCCACTTCTCAGGGCCTTTGGTCCCCGGCACGGGCCGAGCTGGGTTCTCGCTCTCCTGAGCAGGTGTCTGGGCAGCTCCTGCATCACTGGCATTGCTTATGTGCTGCACCTGTCTCCCTTGATGGCTCTCAGCCCTGCAGTACCCATGGACGTCCCTTCCCTCTCTCAGCAGGTGCCTTCTGGAAGATTCCATGTGGTGCACTTCCAGGGACAGGCATGTTCAGGAGAAGCTGGGGGCAGTCCCCAGGGCAGGGAGGTGTTACCCAAAAGGTGGGGCCATGCCTGGCCTCCTAGCCAGGGCCTCCAGCTCAGAAGGCTCAGAGCAGGGCCTCCACCACCTTCCCCATCCTGAGGCCTGGGTCCCCGTCCTTCCCCGCCCAGGCCTGGCTGTGGCCCCGCAGGTCTGGGCGTGCACGGCATCTGTCTGTGGCTCTGCTGTGCTGAGGGTTCAGCTGCACTGCTCTTTGTGCAGGAGCGGAAGAGGAGGGTGCTCCAGCGAGTGTGCACATTCTTCCAGCATCTCAGGGTGGGCCTGACCTTGGTGGAGGTGGCTGGTTTCAGCTGAGGGCTGAATCCTGAGGATTCGGCTGCAAATGAGCTCCTCCGCTCCTGGCAGCCCTGGGTCTGGGGAACCTGGTGTCCACCGCGGCTGACCTGTGTGGTCGGCCGGCCGCTGTGGGACTGTCAATGACCCAGCTAATGACAACTTCAGCCAGATGCTTATTGCCTCAAACAAATGCCTGGAGTTCGCCTTCCTTCTCCTTTTTGATTAATATTTATAATTTGAATCGTTGATCAAAATTACGGATCACGTTCATAGACTAGAACCACGCTCGTGAGGAGAGCTCTGTGACTGGCCGCGGGGAACATGCACAGACGGCAGCTTTTCCGGAATCCCCCTGATGGCCGGAGCCCCGACCTGGCTCTTTGCTTCCTGATTTTCCCCCAAAGGGTGCAACAATTCCTGTTTTCCCAGCTCTGCAATCTTTCCCATCTATCAAATGGGAGTTAAGATGCAATTACTTATTTATGAATGAAATTAGAAGAGGCATATTAATAAATTATGTGAATCCATTTTTTTCTAAAAATATGATGGAGGAATTAGTTGACATATTAGAAATGCTGTGATTTTTATATTGTGATTACTTGTTCTTTTAAAGCAAAATGCATTTTAAACAGCTTAGCAAATTGTCTAATTAACCACTTTGTTTACATAAAAACATGCCTGGGAAGCGGGGGGAGCTTGCCTCTGGGATTAATGGGAACAGTGGGAAAGTTCTTGACAGGATTTCTACCAAGGAGACAATTTCTGCTGAACAGGGAGCGGGTGTGGGGGGCCGTGAGTTTGAGTCGCGTTCGGTGTGAGCTCTGCCAAGGCTCAGTTCTGCGGCACCAGGGGCCTGAACCTGACTTGTTTTCAAGGTGTTTCTCTTGTTGTTTGGGAGAAGTCCCAGGTAAGCAGCATCTGTGCCCCTCCGGCCACAGTTCCCAACATGAGCAACGGCCCCCTGTGAGCTTCTTTCCAGGTCCTTCAGTCGCAGGGCCTCACGCATCTGCAACCTGCCTCCTCCACCCGGAAGCCCATGGGCTTCCTGGAGATGTTCTCAGCTCCCAAGCACAGCCGGGGAGGCAGTGAGAAGTCACACTTTCATGCATTCAAACTGAGTGAAGCTCTGTTGTGTTCTGAGCACCAAGAAGATCTCCATGATGCCAGCAGGCGTGTCCACAGAGGAATGGGGGAAGAAAAGGTGACCCCTGGGCAAGGAGCAGTCGGGGGCTGGAGACCACCGGGACAGGGACAGTCTGAGGGGCTCCCCGCCACCGGACGCTGCCTGTGCCTGGAGGCTCCCGAGCCTGGGGCTTCCTGGGTAGCTGCAGCTCCAGGCCTAGCGGCACCACTGTCTGCAGTAGAAGCCCTTGCTTCTGGCCTCCTGTTGCTCTTGTTTCTTTCTTTATCTTTTCCTGAAAAGATTCTAAAATGTCCCCGCCTGCCAGTGCCTGGATCTCTGGCAGGCCTGGTCCACGTGGAGGGGAATTCCACTGCTGGGACCTTCTGCTCCCCAGACTGTTTCCATCCTGCTCTGCACTGGCGCAGGCTGTGAGGAGCTCTGAACCCAGAAGGTGCCGTGCCCGGCCTCCCCGCTCCCCACCTCTAGGGAGAGCCCCTCTCAGAACACGCGGTGCCATGGACCTCAGTCCCCTGGGGAGCGTCCAGGGACTTTCTGGGGTCCCTCATTTCTGTCCCAGAAAGTATGGCCCCGGGATTAGAGAAGATCGCCTTCCACGCTCCAGAGACTTTGGACCACATGAGCCAAGTTTATGGACAGACCCCTGAGTTGTTAGGCAGCATCCTCCTCCGTGACGTTTTTAGAAAGTGGTGACTATTTGGGAAATGGAATCGGGCAATGCTGTTGGATTGCAGGAATTCTAGGAGATGCACTTTATTTTGCCTGTGTTCCCCCTCCGCCCTGGTAGCAATGATGTCCCGGGTTCGGAGGGACCGGCAGCGCCGCGGTGTTTTCCGCAGAAGCGTGGACTTTCTTCTTTCCACGCCGTGGTGTTTGGTGAATCGTGACGGGAGGTGTCTTGGGCGCAGCCTGGTGGGAGCTCCCAGCTTCTGCCGTGTGCTGAGCGCGCCTCCTTCTGCACAGGAGACGATCCTCCCTGGCCGGTGGGATTCACGACCCTTTGCGCCGTTGCCTCGTCCAGATCCACGCGCAGGACTGGTCTCGCGTGACACGCGCGGCCGGCCCCTTTCAGACGGAAATGGAGGGGCTGACGCCGTGGGCAGAGCTCTAGCCAGGCAGCCCAGGGTGCGCGTCGTGTCCGTGTCGGTGAAGACCGTGTCTGCAGACAGGTCACTGCAGGGGGAGAGGAAGGAGCTCCGTGGACCCTGCAGGACGCAGCCTGTGGGGAAGGGGCTCCTGTTCTCACCTGCATCGTGCAGCCCTGGGGCTGTGGTTTCCTGTCTTAAACCACCTCCATCAGCCTGGATTGTGTTCAGATTGTGGAGCGCGGTGCCCGAGGGGGCCTGCACCCCTCACTGTCCCTTCATGTCCAGGTGCAGCGTCTCCCTCCCAGAGAAACCGCGTGGAGTCCCTCCTCCCGCTGGAGCCAGACCTCAGACTGGGAGCGCCTCAGTCTCTGCGGGGTCAGAGGCCTTCTTTGTAGGAGCAGAGGCGAATTCAAACTCGGATGAGCCCACGAGGCCCCAGGTGGAGCTATTCCTTCTGCCTTTGAAAGTTCTGTTGAGAAATTGCAGGTAGTGACGTTAGCAATCTTAACTAGGCATAGGATGTTTTAATGAATAGACTTCCGTTCTGAGTCATCTCTTATTTTAAAACATGTCTCTATTATAGAACTAAAAAAATGCTCATTAGAGAGGGAAATATTGAAATACCATGAAATAAACAAAGAAGAAAATTAAAATAAATCATCCATAAGTTGGCTCTCCAGAGACAACTCCTGTTAATTTTTTTGATGTATTTCCTTCCTCAAGTTCTATCTTTTTAAGATTGTCATGTAGGGAACACAGGAATCACGTCCCATGCCCCTTTCCTTTCTTAAAATAGCATGGTTGATGCCTAATTAAAATCTTTTTTTATTATCATAAGTAATAAATTTCAGCCAGATTTGCATGTGTGGATTGCATATTCTTTTGTTTTCTCTCTTTTCATGTTAAATTATTGATGCCGTGAATACAAACAAATCCCTCCCACACTTGCCTTGCTTTCCAATTAAAGCACAATGCAAAGCCAGTACCGTGTGCCGTGTGCCATGTGCCGTTTGCCGCAGGTCGTTGCGGTTAACTTTTGAAGAACAAGAGAGAGGTGCCCTTTGGGAGGTGAGGCGGCTCCAGGGAGGGGCTTGGTAAGAGCTGCCCGATCAGAGTCAGTTGCTGCCGTTCCGTGGGAATCCAGATGTGCTGGCTGGGAAGCCTCTAGGAAAAGATGGGTGAGTTATTTCAGGCAGGGCCCAGCTTGCTGTGTGACAGGGGCAGCAGCTGGGAATGAGAGAGGCCTGGCTAACGACATTCCAAGACCCTTCTCAGGTCCTTCCTTTACTCGGGGCCACCTACCAGGAGCCAGCCCACCACACCTGGGGGGCATCCAGCACAGGGCAGGGCGTGCCGTGCGGGAGCTGTGCGTCTAATTCCAGGGTCAGCTACTGGACTCAGCGATGTTTTCCCAGTGTATAGGGTGAGAAAGTTCCCACCCGGGCTGGGGGCTCAGACTCTCCAGCCAGCTTGACAGAGGCAGCCCTGACCCATATTCTCCTTGGCTTTTTGTTTTTGGTTACCTCCCATCCATCATCCAAAAACACACATGCCCAGCAGAGAATCGCTGCTTCTGCGTCCTGCTCCTGGCTGACATCCAGGCCACCCATGCCTGTGTGGCTATGCTTCTTGTTAAGATATTGAAAAACTCCAGTGCCAGTTGGCAAATAGCACGGTAGTAGCTGGAATGTGTAGTGGCATTAATTAATAATGAAAATCTGAACGTAACTGCACTCATTTGAGCCAGTTGTCGTAAGTGCCACAATTACCCTTGGTAAATGGGTCTCTAATAGCGTGGCTTTAGTCAATAGTAGAATTAGTAAATATATAGGATTCTTTAGTAGCGTTATAAGGTCCAGACAAATTGGGGATATAACTGCTGTTAGTTCAGGGGAAGCTGAAAGAGGATTTGTACTGCAAACAATATTTTTGATGCAAACATACATTCTCCCCTATAAGTTACCTAAGGACCTGTTCCACAGGAGATGGGGTTTGGAGCCTTGATGGCTGACAGGATGGTCACTGAGTGGACAGAGGTGGAGCAGGTGGAGGTGGGTGTGTCTGCACTTGAGGAGGGGTGAGCAAAGGCTGGGGTGGGAGAGCAGGGAGCAGGCACTACCAAGTGGGTGTTGAGGGATTGGGAGGAGTGCAGGCTCCCAGGTCCAAATCATGTGGGTATGTACCTGGCCATTGTGATCCAAAGCATGTCCAGCTGTGCTCTCGCTGGCACCAGTACTTATGATTGCCATTCCATCGGAAACCCATTGGAAAAGTCCAATGCTGTTCCCCATGTCAAAATGTGATCCAGACAGTGTCATCATTTAGCTAGCAATGGCCACATCAAAGTTACTATGAACAATTTTAAACACCACCACCAACAAAATCATTTATAACAGCATCCGAAACAAGAAATACTTTTTTTTTTTTTTTTTTTTTTTTAGACGGAGTCTCACGCTGTTGCCCAGGCTGGAGTGCAGTGGCGCGATCTCGGCTCACTGCAAGCTCCGCCTCCCGGGTTCCCGCCATTCTCCTGCCTCAGCCTCCTGAGTAGCTGGGACTACAGGTGCCCGCC